CAAAGGCTTGTTAACCAAAAAGTTGCTCCTCTTAAACAAACTCTTTGACTATGTTTTGAGTTCCCGGAAAGGACACAGTTAAACACACTTTTATTTTGCTGAGAATGGATGAAGAGAGTCTGGAAGCAGCAATTCAGACCTACAATGCCCAGCTGCAGCAAGTGGAGCTGGCCTTAGGGGCAGGCCTGGACCCGTCGCAGCAGTCGGACTTGATTCAGTTGCAGGAAGATTTAAAGCAGCTGATAGAACTGACTGAATCCAGCCTGGTGTCTGTTAAAAAGAGCAAACTTCTGGCTACGTTAGATACAAATGCCTCCTCTTCCTCCTCCCCAGTAGGTCTTCTGGAGCAGGATGCCAACCCAGACAGTTCTGCCCAAGATGAGGAGTACGCTGCTTTTAAGGAAGCCATTGCTGAGCTTGGAACGGATGAGAAGCCCTCAGCTAATAACAGGGAGATACCCTCAAAGAGAGAGGAAGAAACGGATGACAAAAATGAATCACCCTCAAAGAGAGAGGAAGAAACGGATGACAAAAATGAATCAAAGTACAGCGAAGAGGAGGAGGAATCTGACAGAGAAGAGGAGGAACTGAGTGGGATGAAGGTTAAAGCCCCCTACTACAGTTCTTGGGGGACCCTGGAGTACCATAATGCCATGATTGTGGGGACAGAGGACTTAGAAGATGGCAGCGCTGGAGTCAGAGTGCTGTACCTCTATCCAACTCACAAGTCTCTGAAGCCGTGCCCGTTCTTCTTGGATAACAAATGCCGATTTAAAGAGAACTGTCGGTAAAAAAGAAAAAGGCGTGGGAGGGGGCTTATGGCCTTCCTGTAGCTAAAGGTCTTGTCGTTCAAAGGGATAAACCTCCCCTGAAAATACCATGTTTGGCTTTTATACCCGATGAAATGTTGCCTTCTTGTTTATGTTTTTAAATTGCGTTATGGTAAGCGGTGGCAGCAGTTGGGCTGTTTTCTTTAGTTAAATGCAGAGATGATACTGGGAAATCCTGTGGGGAAAGTTGCAGAGGTTTTACATAATCAATCAAGTGGCTAAATTAATAACTGATTAAGTATTTTAAAACAAAACACCCAAGCTTGTCTGTCAGCAGTGCATATATTGCAGTTGCACGGAGAGGCTGTAGAGTCTCCATCTTTGGAGATCTTCAGAACTTAACTAGATAAGGCCTTGAGCAACCTGCTCGGTCTTTGAAGTTGATTGCGCGTTGAGCAGGAGGTTGGACCAGAGCCCTGCGTGTCTGTGTGATCCTGTTTATCTCAAAAGGATCTGTGAACTTTTTTACTGGATGTGTCACTAGCAAGGAAAGCTTAATTCTCTGGGTGGGATACGTTCTTTGTTACATGGCCTAAATAATATGTTTAAGATGAAGAATTAATAACTTGTGTAATTGAAATAATGCACGATAAACCTTTTGTAATTACTGGTGAAGATTCATCACTGCCGAAACTCCTTTGCATTTCCTTGAGGGAGAGAAGGAATTTTTATTTAAAGCCTGCTCAAATGAGGTAGAGATAATTCCTCTTCCGCCTTCCCTGGCAGGTTTTCGCACGGTCAGGTGGTCTCTGTGGAAGAGCTTCAGCCGTTTCAGGAGCCCAACCTGAGCACGCTGGAGGTGGGCTCAGCCTGCCTGGCGAAACACAATGATGGGATATGGTACACTGCGAAAATAACCGGTGAGTCTTGTGTGAGCATGCTTTGCCAGGATTCTGTGGAGGATGAAGGCTGATGCTTAAGTGAATATAAAAATTGGCCATTTTGGTTAATGATAGAAAAACGTTAACTGTGTAACTGCAGCCCTAAACTGAAAATCTTGACGTAGCTGAGAAAACGTTCTGAATTTTGTCAGGCTTGAGAAGGGAATAGGCTAGGAAACAGAAGAGTGTTCGACAGAAAGGAGACATAAGAGCAGGAGTGTGGAAAGGAAATGACTACATGGTCATTAACTGCACCGAAATGGAAGAGGCAGGTATTACAGGAATTTGCTTGCTAATTTGCATGCTAATTTGCATGCTAATATGCCAATATGGTTAGAATTGCAATAATCTGCTCTTGATTAAACAAAAGCCAGGGGAGCTGGCCCTGCCCATTAGCTGCTGATACAGGCTTCCCCGTGTTCCCTGTGAAGGGTGAGGGTTTATTCTCTCTTTCCATCTTTCTTTGACTATTATTAGGTCAGAGGGGAGCAAGTCTAAGTTCTCTTTAATTCCATTTCTCAGCAGCCCACCTTTCTTCATTTTTAAAAATAAACCTTTAAGTATCAATGCAGGCATTGTGGAAATAGCTTTTCATTGCAGTGGGTGCTTCTCCCTCCCAGGCAGAAGTCTAAAGCACAAAGAAAGAACAGATTTTTTTTAAAACACGTCCCTTGGGCCTTCCCCCCTCTCCCACATGGTTCTGCTGGAACTAACTCTGTTTTAGAAAGCCCTCTGCCAGTTGCATATTGGAGACTTACTTGAACTCTTGTTCCTTGCTTTTCCTTCTGCAGACATCGACAGTGGTTACTACACTGTGAAGTTTGATTCCCTGCTGCTCAAGGAAGCTGTTGTGGAAGGAGACAGTGTCATTCCCCCACTGCGAAGTGAAGATGGTGCCTCATCTGCTGAGTCTGATGAAGACAGCGTTGATGATTCTGGTTATGCCAAAGGTAAGAGAGTGGGGATGGTGGGAGCGAACGTGGCTTGTGATCTGGGTCTGCCCTTCTCTGGGGCCTCCTGAATGACTCTCCTGGAGCTTTCATTGTAAGTGTCTCACCTCTGATGAAAGAGTAGCTAATCTCTTTATATGTTGCTGAAAGATAGAGAATAGTAATTAGCTATTATGTTACAATTGCAAACTAAAATCTTTGTTTTGTGCAAATTACTGGGCTAATGAAGGTTGGAGGTTTCCGTGGGAACTCCCAACAAGGGAAGGTAGAGGGTGTGATATTTTAGAGCTGACTTCCAAGCTCTGAGTCTGCTTCTTATGTGGCTGGCTGAGTTGAGCTAATAAGTGAATCGAGAGACTTCCTCATCTCTGGGAGCTCCATGTAGCTCCGTGACACAAGAGTACAAGACCCCGGTAGCTGTGAGTGCTTGGTCCTTCCAGTGCCTCGACGAGGTCGCAGGAACAGCCATGCCCTGTTTTAATATTGCAAGCTGACACAGAGAGAGCCCAAGCGACTTCTCTGAGATCACACAGGCAGCGCTGTCCCTGTGCTAGTGCCGCAGTTACGTCACGGGGACAAAGTTGTGTCCTAGAGCTCTTTAATTTAGAGATTATTGGATCCTAATAAGACAAAAGTAGTATAGTGGCCTAGAGGAGCCTCATACCAGAGACATGAGCTGGAGGCACAGAAGTACTACATGCCACAGTGCCAAATATTACTCTCATGGTATGTCAGTCGGTATGACTGTCCTAGAAGGAGGGAAAGGAAGCGTAAAAACTTCTGGGTGATTCTGCCTGGAACTATGAGACAGTACGTGTGTTAAATCAAGTGAGAGCTTTCATTTAAGTAACTTGCTATGCAGTGTTCATAAAAGGTGACAGCTCAATAGGAACCAAGTAAGGCCAAAGGATCTGCTGAATGATTCTAGGGTGAGGGAAGTGTATTTTACTGCCTTGCGAGGGGGTTTCGTGCTGCGCGAGTGCCCCAGATGAGGGTTTGGTGTAGCGGCTTGGTTTCTGCGTTTCACTGATTTGTCTCTTCCGTGCCACAGTGATAGATTCGGGAGCTCCAGAGAACGGGGAATGGACTCCTGCGTGCAGTTCCTCTTTCGGTGGCTGGGAAGCCCATACTCGTGGTATCGGCTCCAAACTGCTTGTTCAGATGGGATACGAGTTTGGAAAAGGTAAGGGGAGAAGGCGGTCCTGGTGCTGTGAGAGCCTGACTGCCTCGTCACCTCAGTCTCGTGATGGATCCTAAAGCTAGTTAAGAAAAACAAGATTTTTTGGATGAAGCTAAAACTTTTCTTTGCTCAGGGGCCTGTTAGATAAGGCTTAAGCTATGTGATGAATCACACCTGTGTGGAAGTGTTAGAAGGAAAGAAGGAATAGCTATTTAGTCGAAGTACAGGCATATTTGTGCACCAGCCCTTGTATGGTAATAGTAAAAATTGGAGGTGTTTGGAACCACGGTCAAGTTCATGATTAAAGCCGTGAGAACTGTTGTACAAGGTGTTCAAAGGCTTTAGGGAGAAGGGAACTGATCTATGAAGCTTCTGATGTCTGTCTTAAAGCATCTCCTGGCTCTAGAACGCAGA